GGAAACGATGCTTGATATGTGATTTGAGTCTTAAATTTATTAAGGCTCATTTTGTACTGTCACATATATCTAAAAGGAACAAATAAAATTTTTAAAAAGACTCGTTTTGTGGCCGAATGTGTGATCTGTGATAGGGAATGTCCTATAGGCACTTGAGAAGAAGGTGTATTCTGTTCCTCTTGGACAGAATGTTCTGTATAGACATTTGCTAGTTCTGTTTGTTCTTTAGTGCAAAAGTTCAAATCCATTATTTCCTTATTGATTTTCTATCTGAATGTTCTATCCATTATTGAAAGTGGGATTTTTTTTAAGGATCCTACCATTACTGTATGTTTGTTTATTTCTCCCTAGTCCTGTCAATGCTTGCTTTGTGTTTAGGTTCTCCAATGTTGGGTACACATAGACTTCTAATTGTTATATCTTCCTGATAAATTTCCCATCGTTATATAATGTTCTTTGTCTCTTATGAAAATTTCGACTTGAAGCCTAACAGTCTTATGCTAGCATAGCCACGTTCTCTCTTTTGATTACCATCTGCAAGGAATATCTTTTTTTCCATACCTCACCTTCAGTCTGTATTTGTCTTTAAACCTAAAGTCAATCCCTTGTAGACAGCGTAGCCAGTATAGATGGATCTTGGCTTGATTTTATCCATTTGATTACGTTTTTAATCGGAGGGTTATTCATTCACACTTAAAGTAATTATTGAAATAAGTGCTGGAGAAGATGTGGAGAAAAAAGAACAGTTTTGGTGGAACTGTAAATTAGTACAACCACTTTGGAAATGATTATAGAGGTTCCTTAAAAGATGAGGCATGGAACCACCATAGGACCCAACTATACCAACTCCTTGGTATTTATCCTAAAGGATGAAAATCACCATACTGCAGTGATACATATGTGCATACATGTGTGTGTTTACTGCATAAAGAAATTATGACTGAAGAAAATTCCATTGTGTTTATATACCACATTTTCTTTATCCAATTATCTATTGATGGACACCTACCTAGTCTGCTTCTATAGTTTGGCTGCTGTGAATTGTGCTGCTGTAAACACGCACATGTTATGCAATGTTCTTCACCAAAAAATGGTTACTGGTGGGCTGACCAGTTCCCAACAGGCTGTGCCCATTTCCGGAGCTACTTCCCAGTAGAGCAGAGATAAAGGTCATGTGCCTTGGGCAATCTACTGTGTGCGAGAGCCTCAGATAGTTCCCAAGTTTAAACCTAAAATCTCCCTGGCTGCCATGCCCAGAGAAGACCCTCAAGTAATTCTCCGGTAGCTTCCCGCATTCCCTCACTGCAGAAAAGCTATTTCCTTCTAGGCATGTGGCACTGTACTGGGGATAAAAGATACCAAGAAGAGGTGTCTTGAATCTTTCTACCAGCTTTAGTCTGGCTTGTTTCATTCACTCTGGGTGCAAGAGCCTCTTAATTAGTTACTGTATTTCTCACAAAGAGAATTGATCTGTGAATTGGTGCATCCATGGGAGCAAAGAGGACCTAGGCTTCCTATTTCACCTGATTGCCGGCATCACTTCCCAGAAAACACATTAGAAGTTAAATAATTCACATTTCTAAGATAGGAACCCAGAGAAGTCAGTTCCTTTTTTTTTTTTTTTTGAGTCTTATTTTCCTCATCTTTTAAATTAAAGTAAATAAGAGTGCTGCCTAACTGCCAGATTTTTTGTGAGGGTTGAGTAAGATGGTATTTGTGAACATTGCTGGGTGATGGAGTACTGACAATAATTTCTGTAAGCTTCATGCTTCCTATTGCCATCCCAGATGGTTCAGATGAAGAATTCTGGGAAAAGTCTACTTTGTTAAGCAGACACCCAGGCCCATTGCCCATGTTCACTCAGTGGTGATCAAATCTCACTTGCCCTGTAAGCACTAGGGACACAGAACTGTATTCATGGATTAACCAAAAAAAACCAGCAAATGTTGACATCAGGAATAGGAAGTTCACAGACGACTATCATCTTCTAGCTTCTGTGCTAAATTCCTGATCTTATGGGTTTAGTCACCTAATTTGGGGTGGTTCTTGAAGAGCACAATTCTCTACATGGATTTGTATTGCCACCAAGGCCTCCTTTCTGGTACTAGCATTGAAATGGGCTATACTCATCCTCTGGGAATCCCCAGCCTTACAGCTCTGTGCAAGTATTTGTAATAATGATGCTGGTAGTATTGATGATAATGACGATGATGATGATGATGATAATGATGATGATGATAATGAGGATCATGAGGGTGCGGCCATTTCCTGAATCCTCATTATGTGCCAAACAAGGTAATAAGCAAAAAGATACAAAAAGATCAACACATTTTTCATTTGATTCTCCCAGCATCACTGTGAGGTTGCCTTATTATTCCCATTATAGATAACAAAACAAATTGGAAAAGTATCCGAATTTGCCTAATATAGAGTCAATGAGTAGTGGGGCTAGGATTTGAACAACTCAGGTATCTCTGACTTCTGAGTCGGAACACCAAAACACAGTACAAAAATCTTATATTTGGCAGCATTTTCTCTGAGTTAGTGAGGGGAAGGAAATCTTGGATTCATTACTTTCCATTGCCCTTTCACTTTATAATTTTCCCTTCTTGTCCCTTCTGTGGCCCCATACTCTACTCCTTCCACACCCCATCAGTCTTCCAAGGGCCTCTCTGCTCAAGCCACCTAGCTAATCTCTATGATACTTTCCTAAATTAAAAACAAGTTTCTGAAGAACCTCCATACTCAACAGGGAAACAGCCATCCTTCTGCACGATTGGTTGATATGTCCATGTTAGAAATTAGGTTGGCTTTTCTAAGCCTCTAAGCAAATGAAAATATACAACACATGACCTAAGGTAATTTAGAACCTGCAAGAAAGCCTACCTGCCTAAACCTAAACAATTAACCTTGTAAAAATTCACCTGAGAACTAAGTTCTTTGATTCTTCTGGAAGCGATGAATTCCAAAACTAGAAGGACGGGAATTGACGGAGGAGAGAACTAAGGCTCAGACAGCAAGGAAGCACAAATATCAACCCATAACTTTCTAGTCAGTCTGCTAGGTACCTTCCTGCATAGTGTTCCATCCTGACCCCAAACCCTGGGTGTTCAGATCCCGTTCTTGTCACCGTGTATAGAGATCAAGTATCTGAGACATTGGGAGGAAACTTAACTTGTCCAAAACTGACACACGTAAATAGACTCGGGTCTCCCGGGACCATCATACCACTTGCGAGTTAGACGAGACCCTAACCTAGGCCAGGGTATGGCCAAGCACAGGAACTGGGAGAACATGCAGAAGAGGGATCATGGATTCCAATGCCACTCTGAGCACACAGATGAGAAGACACACCCAGGTTTCCTGCACAGTGCATTCAACCGGGGGATTAAAAGTGACAAATCCCACAGGCTTGTGATAAGGCATGACTCCTGGAAATAATGGGATGGGCTTTTTTAAAGGAAAATACTGTGCATTCCTGGGCAGCCCGGCTGTTCTTCCTGAAGATGCTGACCGCAGCCTCTGGCCTCAAAGAACTCAGATGATGGCTTTGACCCCAGATGGAAGGACGGAAAAAATGTCTTTGCCCTGTGCTACAGTAAATATAAAATCTGTTGGGAAACAGAAAGTAAAAAAAATCAGGGAAAAAATATTCAGATGATAAACTGGGGAAAAATAAAACATTCAAGAGTGATGGGCAAGTGAACAGCCCAAGAGCCCCCCACCAAAAAAAAAAAAAAAAGGCACCAAAGAGCTCTGGAATTGCCAGGCATTGGATTCAGCAATAATTTCTTAAGATACAACACCAAAAGCCCAAGCAACAAAAGAAAAAATAATAAATAAAATGACTTTCATCAAAATTAAGAACCTTTTATGCATCAAAGGACCCTATTGAGAGAGTAAAAAGGAAAATCACATTCTAGAAAAAATATCTGCAAATCCTATATCTGATGGGGATCATCAGATTTAGGAAGAATCCCTACAACTCAACATTAAAAAAAAAAAACTGTCAACGCAACTTAAAAATGGGCAAAGGATTTGAAGAGACATGTCTTCCAAAGATATACAAATAGCCAATAAGCACATGAAAAAGATGCTCAGCATCATTAATCATCAGGGAAATGCAAACAAAACCACTAAAAAACAAACAGAAAATAACAAGAGTTGGCAAGGATGGGGAGAAATTGGGACCCTGTGCATTTCTAGGAAAAATTTTAAATGGCACAACCACCATGGGATAGATAGAATTTCAACTCATTTGAGGACTTCAGTTTACAGGACTATGCTTCGCCAACATAGATTAATGGCATCAAAGCCTAAGATCAGAGCTGGGAATGTGGCTCAAGCGGTAGCGCACTCGCCTGGCATGCGTGCGGCCCGGGTTCGATCCTCAGCACCACATACCAACAAAGATGTTGTGTCCGCCGAGAACT